AGTGATCTTTGGTTGCGTTCTTTAACAAAGCCAAAGTCACTATCATCCAACAATCATCTGTCAGTTACCCAGCTGTATCCAGGATTGACCCTAACAAGGCTTATTAATAGCTATAAACACCATTAAATACATAAAAGTAAACACACACGTTTTTTGGGTATCAAAAATTTCGTTCCCCGCTTAAACAACATCTGGCAATAACACAGGCCTGTTCGTCTTAATTTCATACCTTGAGATTATTTTCAGTAGCAACCCACAACTATTCAATTACCGTAACCAAAATCACACAGTCAGGGAACCGATTGTTAAATTCCATGTCTAACTCAAGCTTTGCCTTCGCAGTACAGGACAACGCCATGACCTCGTGCATTGAGCTTCCGTGTCAGACTGCACACCTTATATGAGTCATGAGTGACCTTGAATGATGAATAAAGACAGATTAACACAGATAAAGCTGTCGATGAAGTGCCGGGATTGGATGGCCAAAATGAGTTGCAAGATTAGGGGAGTCATGCAAGCAACGACGAAATCCTACTTAACTATGAACCCTCTTGGGAAATGTTGACCCAAAGGCTGTTTTCGCATTTAAGTAATCTCCTAAGTTGAACGCCAATGTGTTTGGCTAAAACATGTGGCTAGTTTGTTTAGGTGAAACAAATAAGGCTAGAAGACAAACTGATCAAGGAGGAGAATATTTGTTCGAATTCAGGAATTTATCCAAGGTAAGATAGCTGGCGAGCTGCTCAGATTAAATAGGAGAGCAGCTGAACCAATGTTTGAAGACTTGAATACTCGAGTCTTGAATTACAATCTATTTGACTAAGAGACAATTCCTATATTAACTAAGTTATAAGTTTCATAACCAATCACTTTGATAATCCTCTCTGCAAAGATCTCGTGGATAATTGAATCATTTAAGTCGGAATTGTGGTCGCATGAAATCTAATGAGGTGGACACCTCGCAACGACTAAAGTTAACTTAATCAGGCTGTTTTCCGCGACTGAGCTGCTGACAACAACTTGCAGCGTTATTTTGTTTTTACGGCATGATTTACCTCCGCAATATGCTGTGTTTCCACGACGACGCAATTAGAGCTAATTCCCTTCGCTGTGCCCTGTTGCTGCATATAAATTATTGACTCTTAATGAGGACATTACTCGTGTCAACATGCTTAAAAATCAATGCTAAAAAGCGGGGATTACTATTAACGGACATTAACTCGCTTCTTAGCGTTAGTTGAGGCTTTCCAATATTAAAATGAGCGCTAAACAAGTAATAACAGCTAAAGTTATGTTCTTTGTAGAGACCGATTTATATTTTTTTTAAAATTTGAATCGAGTAAAAACGGATTTTTAGGCAAGAAGGCCTTGATTTAAGTGTGCATATTTGGGTCCCATTTGTAGATAAAAGCTTTGATTGCAATTTGCGAATTATTTACATAGCGTTTAAAACTTATTATGTATACACTTCGATTTTTTGCATGGTTTGTATGGTGATGTCAAATTTAAAGTTGGATAACTAATAAGAAGGGCTAAGAGATAACTCAAAGCTGGTCCATTTACATCTTTAATAATTTTACATCTTATTTTCCCGAACAAGGACTTCCACTTCGATCGCAGTAAGGGTGAAGTTATTAGTTAGGCGGGTCGTCATGAACTCAGACTCGCGGCTTCCCTCTTACTGAGTCCGATTAGTTCCTTTCACACGTCCCTGTGGAGGTAATTCTCGTGTTATCTATTCACCTCACCTATTCGTTAGTCATATACGAATTTGAATGAACAAATATCACACAGATTGCAATCAGGTTAAATCACCCAACCAACGATTGTGTCCCCACCATCTTCGGTTTTCTTATCATTTCCGGGTATTCTGGCCTGCGGACCGCTTACGATATTTGTAGATGTTGAATTTCACTAAGCTCTGGCAATCATTCAACATGGTAAACAATAAATTGGAATTCTAGTTATGAATTTTGTCTTCACTACGGTTCCTGGGAGTGTCTGGTTTTCCATGATACGAATATCACCTGATTCCAAAGTTTTCTCTTGACAGACGCAGCTATTTTGTTGGCAGTTCTTGTAATATACTTATGCCTAAATTTTCCCTAAGTGTCATACAAATTGACAGAGATATTTTCATCAAAAAGAGCAAAGGCAACCATTTTTAGAGGGAATAACCCTCGATTTCCACTTGCTTACAACATATGCAACGTCTGAGCTTCGTCTTTGGTGGTCCAGTTGCCGTATAGGATAAAATTATAGGCCTCGCAAACCCCAACATCTGCTCAGTGTTACTGGCTGCGTTGGTTTCGGAGTCAGCCGATTAGACCTGCTAAACCGATGGCAAATTGAACTCAAGTCTATGATTGCCTCAAGTAAAATTCTACCAGATTGCCTAGGCTCTGGTAGGTTGTGTTTTGGACTCTTACACAAATTCGAATTTTGGTTTAAACCTTAAATTTACACATAACTTAAAATTAAATAAAATAGTGCAATGGTTGGTTTGAGTTCGTTCTTTTTATCGGTTAATGCCCACAGGCTAAGTGATAGATAATTATATTTTGGTTGCGTGCATTTTATCACCTGGGTTTATGGCTGATTCGCAGTTGACAATGACGTAGGAAATGGCAGTCAATGTTCCAGTGACCAGAAAATGCTGCATGTCTGTCAAAAAATCAACAACCAAATTATTTGTAATGAAAAAAGTTAATTTCAAGTGTTCATGGTTAGCCAGACCGCACTTGGTTTGAATTTACGTGCATTTTTTCGAAGGTATGATGCTTACAAAAACAGACATTTAAATACGATGTCATTTTTGCTTTGGGATGTACGACAAGGCGACAGGATACTACGACTGCCGTTGACAAAATCTTTCTTTAAAACTGAACCTTAAGCAGATGTCCGGCTTTTGAATATACTGGAGTTCACTTTACCTCTTTTGTGGTTTGATTATCACAGTAAAAATAATCGATGTCTAACGATTTGGAAAATGCTTTGAACGTACCGTTTGTAGGTCACGTCTCAGCATATCTATCCAATTTATGAGAAAAAGCAGCTCAGGATTCTTGTATGTGATTTGAAAAACACGCAGTGCCTTTTAGTCCTACAAGCCAAAAACTTGGCTACATTTTCAAGATGCTCATTTTTTGATTACAAAAAATCCAAACCAATTGCATAACCCATCCGGAACCAACTACGAATCCTATTTGGAGCTCATTCATTACTCACCTCACTTTCCCTTAACCATAAAATCAACCTGTAGCCATCGCAAATTCATTCAATATGGAATATTTACCTTACTGATCGTTTGACAAGGCAATAAACACATTCAAAGTGCCTTCGCTTTATCAGTTGTTTACTTAAGCACGAATTCACTGGAGCGATCCTTTATCGCCAAAGTGTGTACACTGAAAAGGCCAGTGAGTTATTTATTTTTCTGACTGTTTTGCAGGTATTTGAATGTAAGGAAAGTTAGTTGACCGACTACTTACTCTCTCTCGCACTCATGCATCACGCTTTATTCGGTGATGATGAGGCAAAAAGAGGATAGTTCGTCTAACTTTGGCCTCCTGGCTATCAATTTTAGGCACCTTACGGCACTGGTGGAAATACCTTTGAAACGGAATTTGGAGAAAAGGGGCAACAATCTCATCTTATGCAGATTATTTCTGCAAATTTACAAACTGAAAGGGTTAGATTCATTTACCATAAATAATCTTATGATTCAATAGAGAAGTCTACCAAAAACGCATAAAACAGTGCGATTTAAGCCAAATTTGGTTAAGAATTGGCCTTGATTGCAAAGAATGGCCTTTAGAGAAGGTTATTAAGTAATCAAGGGCTGTATAATAGTTTCCTCAGTAGTCCTGGGTTTGAACGCATAATAAAATCCATTATCGAAACAAGGAATGCTATAAGTTGCTACTTGTGTGTCCTGACACAATAAGATATTGCTTCTAATTAAAACAATTTATTATTATACAACTCTGACCAATGGCAGTCAAACTTTTGCGTGTACTTAAATGTTCTTGCTCAGGAAGTCACATAAAGAACCCTGAAAACCAACATTTTACTCCGCAGGCGAGCTTATCGTTTAACTTCCTGACATGTTTTTCCATTGCAGGGATAGACACAGATGTGTTCGCTTTTTCCCGGGGTTCTAATCATGATTTTCATTCATTTTCCTGCTGGTTATTGTTAAATGAGTTGTCATAGTATAAACAGGAGGATAAAATATTGCGTGTTCTAAAGTCACTAAAGCAAGGAGTTATGAATAATTTCACTGCAAATTTAAGTCTTTTTAGTGTATCTCAATCAGGTTTTGAAATAAAAAAAAATTTATTTCACTGTACGAATTTGGTTTTATGAATCGGAAAGATAACTCTCGCCAAAGGTTACATAAATCTGGCTATCAGTAAAATTAATTTTGTTTAACAGGACACTGATGCATGTAGAAGCTTGCAGACCATATTCATTTAAGCTATCACTTAAAATTAACATGCCAATCCATTTCATTTACTCAACTTTTTGTATAGGATATTTTTAAAACATCCGTATTTTCTAATCCGCGGGAAAAAGCTGCAAATCGTGGTGTAGTGACATTGTAAATAAACAATTCTCCTTCTTTGAGGGTCTTAATTTGTGTTAAACTAACTAGACACATTTTGAAGACCTCTGTGATAATAGGCATGCGTTTTACTGGGAGTCATTCAAAACTTTTTAATGCTACCAAACCTCTTTTTTAACCTAGCACTGTATTTTCAGATATAGTGAATTTTCAATTCACTTACTATGAGTAAATCGATTTATCAAACCAATAGAAACAAACAAATATCATTTTCAAGAAAATTTTCCTCCAGTAACTCGTTTTTATTTAAAAAATATTCAAATAACACATTAACTCGGTGTACTTTGTGTTTATCTGACACCACGAAGGATAACAGTGTGTTGTCAAGTTTGTGCAAATGTTAAGATCCAAGGGCTTAATATTAATGATTTAACTAGTCACAACCTGAGGAGTCCAATGGGCTTATTTGCCCATCGTTCATTAACAAGTCATAGTCGGTTAGACCGCTACTGGAATTCCTGAACCTCAGTGGACTCATGTGGCCAATAGATCCATGTGCCAGAAGGTCGGACCCTTCAAGACTAGACGGTGTTGTGTTGTTTGTGCAATTCCATCTCGTCAGTTTGGGATCGGGGAACAGAAACGACGCACTTTCGCTTTCTGTGGTGTCGTTTCCTTTGCAATCTGACAACACGGGACTAATATCGTCAATCTGCTCTTTATTAGTAGTCTGGAGTAAGGAATTACTGCCGCTACTGTAACTGCTAAATATCTTTCCTGTGTTCTGAATATTTGAATCAAATTTTAGGAAAGCATCGGTATCGGATTCACTGAGGTGTCTGAAATCCGATGTTTGGGACAAAGCGGGGGAGTTGCTTTCTTCCTCCATTTTCAGTTCACCAGAATCATGCAATGTGTCAGCGTCCAGTGGGGTAACGTTATCACCTAGACTGTCGTCTATTGTGTCGCTATCATTGAAATACAAGGTACCCGGTGTCGAAAGGCAGGAGTTTCTCTCTTCAACATCTAAGTCGGAAATTTGGTTGGTGTCCTCGGTCTCTTCAAACACCCTACGTGTTTTGTCAGGTGACAAGAGGAGACCCTTCGTCTTCATTAATTCCCTTTTAGGCTTGCGTTGGTGGTCGTAAATCACAGAGAATTGGTTATCCTGGCTGATTTCTGACATTTCAGATACATGTGAACTGATTGAGTCAATCGCTGAAATTTCAGGATTTAATTTAATACCTCGAAGAACATTCAGAAGAGCTGACGGATCGATATTTGCAGCTTCTATTGATGCTATAATAGCAGCCTCAGGACTTAACTGCACACTCCTTTCCTCTTCCTCGCCATCGTTGCTAGCCAAAATCGGGACTATTTGGGTTGTGGCTACAGGCCGTGGCGACAAATAGCCACTGCCAATGCCTAAGTCGGTTTCAACATCAACCACTTCGTCCCCACTGGTGAAATCCTGCAGACCAATCTTCGTCATATTGTCATCGAGAGAGAGCGTATTCGGACCGGTGTCTTCAAGTTTAAATTCCGAATAAACCGATTTTCCAATAATGGCCTCCGGACCACCAAGATAAGGTTCAATGTCAATGCGTGTGTCACTTTTGCCCTGCACAGAAATCATTGAAATGTCAGAAGTTGCTCGACTTTGTGAACTTGGATTTACCGGAGTAAGTGAAGCACACTTTTCTTCTATCGACCCGATTTTGCTCGTGGGTCCTTCAAAAAATTTCTTTTTAGGTTTATTTTTAATGGAACTGTTTTTCAGATGTTTCGATGAAGTAGAAACGCGATGTGGCTTGAAGGATTTCTGTTTCCCATCATCGGCAGGACAAAATCTTTTGCTTGACTCTAGGTACTGATCACTTTTAAGTGAGTCCGAGGAACCTGAAAAAAGAGGAGTCACTAGTTTGTTTGGCCGCGAAAATTCATTTGACTGATTCAATTTTGCGCAGGATATAAATTTATCATTCATGCTTTCATCCAAAGTTGACTCGACCATCGGAATATGTGGATCGTGTAGTGGAGTCATTGAGGAAATCGTTGAACCGATTACTTTGGACTGAGACTCGTTTGAAATTTCTGGTCTGAATCGGGACAAGTGTGGTCCAGTGGCTGATTCGAAAACTAAACTTCCACTCTCAAGGTCAAGCTGACTTGTTGACTGAAGTGATTTGTCTGGCGGGATAGGTGGCTTTAGGTGAGCGTTCGTGATTTTGTGACCTTCAGTAGTATTTCTTCTCCTAAATGCGGTATTCAGAGGCTGAAAAATTGTTGAGGCTACCGTTCTTTTATTGATTTTTATTTGGGTCTTAAAAGGTTTGATGTAGGATGGAGCTGAACTCTCAGATTTCTTGCAACTTGGAGTCAGATGATGAGATGAAGTTTCATTAGGATTCAGGTAGTCTTCACTTGGCAATCCTCCTCTTAGTCCCATCTCATTGTCACCACGAAGCAGCCCTAAGCTGCTCAGGCTCTGGATGTTTGTGTTTGTTGTGAAGGGACTGCAGGGGGACATTTCCATCTGTCGAGTGGGTCCATCAGCTCCTAGGGTTGCATTCGTACGGTCGTCCAACGAGCCTCCTTCCAAAATGCTATTCCGAAGTGGACTCAAATCGGATTTCATCGTAATTTTCGATCCTTCATCTCTATCTCCTCCCGTACTTTCCTTGCTGCTATTCATTGCTTCAATCAAATACAGGTCTGCTATATTGTGCATTTGCGCGCGGTTTAAATCAAGGTCCAAATTAGTAACTGTTTGATCTTCTAAGCGTACTCCAGGTATTAAATCCGCATCAACCATGTTTGATGTACTATCCAAATCTCCTATTGTCTTCGAAGTCGCTTCAATGTAGCCAAATGGTCCAGAATCGTTTTTTGATAGAGATCCCATTTTCTCACAGTCCGACAACTTTGAAGAATACAAATCACTTTCATTCGTACATAATTTTGATTGGTTACTAAACTGTTCACCTATTAGCTGTAAGCATCCGCTTCCAGTAGATTCAGATGAAATTGTTTTTATTCCAGTTGTTTGTTCTCTCTGCATTTGCATGTGGATTGAATTCAAACCGTGTGAGCTTTCCGCAGATTTTGATAGCTTCGACAAGCTAGAAAGGTCAACAGACATAGCGCCCAAGTCACAGCACGCACTCTCTCCGATGGGGCAGTGGACTGATCCATGATTTGCAAACACCGGGGGAGAGGAGATAATAGTACTATCCACGTTTACTTCGCTAAGGTGACTTATCTGGTGTCGTATAGCATTTTCCTTACTTCTTGTCGAGCAAACAGAACCCAAACTAGCCAAATCTAAATCTGTTCCATAACAGCTACTTTCTCCATTACCTTTGGTTTTGATTTGTGTTTGTGAGGGAGCAGTATTGACTACTTTAATGGCTGGATTTAATCCGGCAACCAGTTTTGTTCGCGAGTCCGTCTTCTGACTGTTGTCCTTTTTAAAGGTACTTGTTTGGTGACTGGCACTTGCATTCAAGGTTGGAGTTAATGGATCTTTAATCGGACTGTCGTTTGATTTAATTAACGATGGCAGGCCAAGTTCTGCAGTCTTGTTATCAAAATTATCAACCATATCCTCCTTTAGTGAAGACTCCAGTAAATTTACTGACCCAACGTGAGCGAATTCCGGGTCTAGGCAACCTTCAGCTCCCGTTACTATTAAATCCAAGCTCTTTCTAGCAACTTCAAGATGTAATGGGCTGAGGCTTTTTAAGTCGGAAATTTGCGGACCTAAGGAAGAATCTTTATGGTCTCTTCCAACCTCCCTGGGGAACGAGTCGTTGCCAGAATCAACCTTAATGTCTTTAGGTAGATGCTGAATTGGACTCATGCTGGTTAGTATTAACGAGCTAAATGGACCAGGGCACTCAGGACTGAGCAAGGCATCTAGCTGCAGACCGCAGCTACCTGTTTCGTGTTGAAGTGAGTTTACTTTGAAACTTCCTTCCCTCAACATTTCGGCACCAGGTAAGATTTCTCCACATGGACTGATGTCATACGATGGTGACTTGGGTGGACTCAGGTAGACGCCAGTAGAATTCAATTGTGTATCACCAATAAACTGTACTCCAGTGTTAGCTCTACCAACAACGTCATTCTCGTTCGAAATGAGCTCATTGATTTCTCCGATTGGGTGATCACCGAGTGCTTCGGCGTCACCAACTACACGCAAATCGCTGTCTCCAAAAACCGATTCGATCGAGGGTTCGTAGATTTCTCCGGTTGGGTGATCACCGAGTGCTTCGGCGTCACCAACTACACACAAATCGCTGTCTCCGAAAACCGATTTGATTGAGGGTTCAATTGCACCCAGTATACCGATTGACGACGCGTCACTTCCAGTGACGTAACTTCGCTCAAAATCACCAGTCTCCTTCAGACTCTCCTTCCATGCGGATGCAGAGCCACATCTCAGAGCCGACAGCCTGACTAGATATGTCTGTGTTCCCCTGTTCCGAAATGGGTTCTCCACCTCCTCAGGCTCCTCCACGTCCACTTCTTCTTCCACCTTCTCTAAGAAATATTTTATTTTGTCTTCCTTAACAAGCCTTGTTCTTCTCCTACTCCTCCTCCTCCTCGTACTCCTCTTTCTTTTCCACCACGGGATGGAAGGCAAACTGGTGAGTATGGTTGTGACGGCCTTATCAACACGTTTTGCTCCACGGCCTTTTAGGAATGCTCTGAATTTCGCGCCTATATTCATTCCTATTAAAGGCTTAATTCTTCTTTTTAGGAGAATCCTAGGACGAGTTTTCATGGAGGGGGGTCGTACGGTCTCCTCCAGACTAGGTGGTTTTGCTGGCAACTGAGATTCATCGTGCTTTCGTCGTGTGTAGTATCTGTTATAAAAGTAGTCGTATTCTTCATCTGAACTCCAGCGCTCAAAGTCAATCTCCATTGAGAGTGTGTTTATGGGTACGTTACAGTATATGCAAATACCTTGGAGGTCCGTTTGGCAGGTTTTACAGTAGTACAGACCACAACGCGGGCACTGAGCAAACTTCTGCTCGAATTCTGCCTTTTTTGCTGGATTCCCTGCGTCATAGCACTGTGCACAAAACACCCGTTTGAAACCCACCTTCGCGAGGTAACCAGTGATCACTGGATTGGTGAAGAGAAAGCGATCAATGAACTTCAGACGACCTGGCGGACCACTGCCAGCGGCAGGCTGCAACTTGCGGCTGCGGATCTTGTGGAGCAGTCGAGAGAAGAGGCCTCGTGTGTTGCGGATGTACGCCCGTAACCAGGCAGCGCGTCGCCTCGCTCCATCCGGATAGTACCACGCCAGGATTATATGACGCAGTCGTAAAGCGTACACCTCGAGTTAAAACATCATGAGAGTTTATTTAAATCGGAACGGAAAGACAAAAGATAGAATTCTTTAACACGTGAGATTTTGAGAATGGTTGTGGAAGAAGAAGCATAAAATTATGAAAAAGCAAATGTGAAAAGGAACAGAAAAGCTTGCACTGATGAGGCCTTCCTTCTACTTTATGGGTTAGTCAAATAACTTACTGGTCCCACGAAGTTGTAATTGCTAAACGTGTACAATTAAATTCTCTATCGTCCAGAGAGCTGGAATTACCGACTCCGTTTGCTCGAATGATAGGGCTCTATGAAAAAGCACTAATGATGACTGAGATTCAGTCCTGCGCTTGAAAAGTAGTTTTGATATGAAATGACTGCTAGAAAGACCCGGATTTTATCAAACTGTATTATTCGTCTCTCCTGGCGTCTCAAACTTGTCCATTTAGGCTACAAAATCACAAATGCAGCTTCTTGGGGCATTGCAAGTTAGCTCTATTGTTCTACCTTTAAAACCGTCCCTCTTAATACTAAATGTTTACGTGCGCGTAAAAATAACATGACTACGGTTCTCTTGTATTTGTAATTAAACAACCCGCACGAAAGTGGCTGGAATAGATATTTTTAGCAGCGTCTGTCGTAGCTTACTTTTTATTGTTATTAACGCGCACATCAGCTGGCAAGCAAATGATGCCCCAACAAACAATGAATGGTTAATTTTGTGATGCAGTGTAGCTATTAGCTTTAATGTCTATTGTTCCCATGTTGTGTAAGTCTGATGAATCTCCTATTATATTCCCTAATCGCGCTGCCCAATTGTACCTACAACTACCTCCAAAAACGTACTGCGCCAATTTAAATCGTTTCTGAATCTTGGTAGCTAGGATTTTGCGTGAGAGATTGCTCCATTTCTTAGAAGACTTTGTGGAGAAACGACGAGGTGTGTAGTCAAGGCTGTTATTTTGCGCTTTCTGACAAGAAACTTCGAGAAATATTACGACCACGAAGGTGTCAAGATATTTGATTTGTGACCGATAGAAATAGCAGCAAAAAATAACTGAGATGGATCACTAATTTGACTCGCATTCAATCTTGATGTCTCAACGTTTTTACACTTCTTAGAGCTCCAAAGCTCTCATGCAAAATAAATCACGGGACGAAACGTTTGATTGTCCTTCAGCCTTTGTATATTAAGCAAGACGTTTGCTCTTATTGCACACATCGTTGAGGAGTGCACGAGTCCCCAAGATTGTAGTGACACAATTTTCAGCTTTCTCTTTACAAAAGATGTCAATTCAAATCCGAGTGTATAGCGTTTCATGCAGTGAAAATGTGCTGCCTATTCGGGACGGCATAGAAAGACCGCTTTGCTCACGTTATGACTCACCTGCAGCACAATGCTCAGAAGGGTCAAGGCGATGGAACACGCGACCAGGATGGTGGTAACGTCGTCCGGCTTTGAGGCTCGCGGTCGGCAAATGGAGGCTTCCACGCTAAAAGATACCTCCTTCAGGGGATTCGCGAGGGCAAGAAACCCACGTCCCATCTCCGACAGCGAACTGTTCCCCTGTATCTCAGGAACCGTCTGCTCAGTAGCACTCATTCCAAAATCCGGTACACTGTTAGATACCCCATCCTCCAAAACCTAGGCAGTAGAAGCCCACATTTGCAGACTGTTGAAGGGGTCTGCAATAGCATTTAGTCAAGCGACCTATATTAAAAATTTAGCCGCTTTATAGAAAATCGTCTCTGATGATCGAAACTGGTGGAATTTAATTGGAACACTAAGCGTCCAGCGGCAAATGATAAGATAAAATGATAACTTCAGCATTTTTAAATATATGATTAAAATAAATGTGAAACCTGTCAGGTAAGGGAAAGACGCAAATAGATTTCAAGAAAGTTTGCTTGACAGCCTTCGAGGTCCCATGAGAGGACGTGAATGAGGTAGTTGGGTGGGAAGTCAGTCACAATTTTCACAACCCTTTCATTTGAGT